GCGGATGGGTCATTGCAAAAATTGTAGCATCAGAAGAAAGGCTTCGAAACGAATAGAAAGCTAAAAGAAGACATTAGAAGCCCGGGATTCCCCTCTAAGTAATACAAAAGTGGTGGTAAGGCAGTCGCAAATCTTAGAGGTTATGTCATTGCCAAAACGGTATTATCAAAAGAAAGCTGGACTGTAATATCTAGATTTTGTGAGCAATTGTTAAAAAAACCAAAAAGAGGGAATTGGCCAACCCTTTAAGAACTCTCAACGAACTGCTAAACTTGGAATCAAGGTTAAAAAGTAGGCCTTAGTATCCCGAAAGCCACCTTGAAGTAATACAAAAGTTGTAACGAGGCGGTTGCAAAAAATGTGATTCTTCTTTTAGCCCTGAAGACTTTGAAACTAATTTAGAAGATGGAACGCAAGCTGACAGGAGAAGACATTTGCAGCCTCGGTGCCATCTCGAGGTTGAACCGTTGTAAAAATGGTAGAATCGGAAGAAAACTGAACTGTAATATCTAGATTCTGTGAAAAAGTTTTGAAAATTAAAAGAACTAGGGAGATAGACGACCATTTAGCGGATTTACCGACCGGTGCCATCTCGAAGTTTGGTCGTTGTACACATTTTAGCATCGGAAGAAAACTGAACTGTAATATCCGGATTCTGTGAGAATATTAAAAAATAGGGAAATAAACTACCATTTAAGGCCTCGAAACGGAGAGGGGAGCTTGTCCGACATACCACGATGTGTGACGGCATTTTTCCCAACTCCAACGCAATATTATTATTATTTTTTTTCATTATTATTATAAATATTATTATTATTATTATTATTATTATTATTATTATTATTATTATTATTATTATTATTATTATTATTATTATTATTATTATTATTATTATTATTATTATTATTATTATTATTATTATTATTATTATTATTATTATTATTATTATTATTATTATTATTATTATTATTATTATTATTATTATTATTATTATTATTATTATTATTATTATTCTATTTATTATTATAATTATTATTGACATTATATTTTATTATATATATTATATACAATATTATTACTATTATTATTTTTATTATTAATATTATTTTGTTGGCACTTTTTTTAAATCAAAATTCTTCTTGTCCCCTTGGTTCGGAAGGTTACCACCAAAAAACACCAAAAATAATAATAATAACAACAATTACCAAAAAAATTTGTATCAACAATTAGCCGTTAATAAAAGCCACATCCGTTGTTTCACTTTCTGTATTTCTGTTGTTTTGTTTTATTTATTACTTATGTTTTGTTGCTTTTTGGAATTGAAAACAATTATTTTTAATTTGAGATTTTTTTCGGGAGCACTTATGTGTTGTTTTATTATTAGCTTAAATTTTTGTTGGTTGTTTGGTTGGTTGGAACGCAATATAGATCAAATTTTGGTAGAGCATTTTTTTTTTGTTTCTGTTGGATCATTATTTTTGATTGAAAAACATGGATCGAGTGATGTAATATTTTTTTTGTTCAACATGAAAAAACAAATACAAAACAAAAGGGAAACTCTTGTACAACATTTTTTTTTTTTTTGAAACTAGTAAACATCACGTAATACAAACAATTTACACATCGGACAGGTACTAAAAACCACAGGTAATTCTTGAAAAATAAAAAAAAAATGGAAAGCGAGGCAATACACGGAATATGACTTTAAAAGTGTCATCACTGTTGTGAAACATGTAATAAAAACAGAAATAAAAAATAATGCAAGAAAAAACGGGGAGAACTTATATTCTTTGGCCGATTTGGAAAGATATGTCGTGGAGCGAAATGGAGTGGATTTGATTGTGGAAAAGAAGGATATATAAGAAGAATTTTTAGAGGACCTTTTGGTTTGTCGCTTGACCGGATTTAGGATTAGGATGTGAAAAAAAGGATTATAGCCAGCATACCCATATATGCGACCAACAATTTAATATTAGATTTTTCAATCGGTTAAACCACTACTCTAAGTTACTTAAAAATGTATTTTTAAAACAAAACTGTTTTTTAAGTGATTTATTTATTTATTTATTTATTTATTTATTATTATTTTTTTTTGTTGGAAAATATTATTTTTTTTAAATTAAAGACTACCTTGCTGCAGATCGTGTTTTTTTCTTTTTTTTGTTTTTGGACATTTTTAATATGGGTTTTTTTGGAATATCCTAGATCACCGCATCTCAAATCGTGGGTATCAAAAGTAAAGTTTATTTAAAGGCCGTAAAAGAAGAGGAGAAAAGAATTCTTTATCAAAGGACCATCAGAAGAGATATTATTTTTTCTTCTGAAATTACATTCTGACCTTAAATGCTGGACCATCAAACTACAAAAAGTGCTTAATTGAGGTATATATTTTCAAGGTTTTTAAGGATTACATTTTAAAAGGACTATTTGACTAAAGGTTTAGGGAATATCTGGCTTATTTTTTGAAGTCCTTTCTGCGAACATGTTTTGAAATTTTTGTCAGGCATTTGTAAAGGGACATTCGACAAAAAATTGTTTGAAGGACCATAAGAACCAATAAATTTCGATTATTCAAAAAAAAAAAAAAAAATTAAGCGTCAAATTATCCTCAGAAAACAGAATATTTTTGAAGGGACGTGAATCCAATTAAAGGAGAATAATCAAACCAACGATTGTCGATTTTCACAAGATGATTTGTAAGAATTTTCAAACATAACCTCTGAAGAACCTTTCGGAAAAAATGTAGATTTTTTAAACCTCAGAAAAAGGACGTGGATTTTTTTAAGAAAGAACTAGTTTTTTATGGACCATCCGACCATTTTTTCAGGCATTTGAAAAGGAACGACGGGCAAAAAAATGTTTTCTTGTTTGAAGAATATTTTTAAGGACCATAAGAACCAATAAATTTCAATTATTAAAAAAAAAAAAAAATAAATATTAGAACCATCAAATTACCATCAGAAAACAGAATATTTTTTGAAGAAACATCAGTAACGGGACGTGAATTCCATTAAAGGAGGACAATCAAAACATATATTTTTGAAGGACCACAGGGAAAAGGATAGGGATTGGGTGGCAAGGATTCTTTCCTCCTATTTGAAAAATCCATAAGTGGCCCCTGTTTCTAATAAAATTTTGAAAATTGCCCACATAATTCATTTACGATCCCTCTGCTTGTCCTCCAGATAAGTTTGGGATTTCTGATTTTTTTAATATAATTTTTCTGGATTTCGGATTTTTTTTTTTAAATTTAATTTTTAAACTCTCCAATATCTCGATGGGGATTTTCCTAATTTCCATTGCGGTTTTTTAAATTTCTTTCCAATATTTGTTTCAATACGGGACTCTTTGCAAATTTAATGCCGGTCATTGGTGTACAGTTAAAACCTAAAGACTTCTTATAGATGCCTTTTACGACCTCTAAAACTAGCCCCTTTGAATCGTGTTTTGAACACGACAAATTCCTTAAATTTCATTTTTAAATCTTCGAATATTTTCTCCAATGAGACAATTTTCCTATATTTATTTCTGTAAAAATTTAGTATTTTTTTAATTTTCCTCAGCTCAAAATTGTTCGAAGGAATGGGTTGCTTGGGTGGTTTTTTACGTAATTATTTTATCCTTTTTTAAAAGCTCTCCCTTTTTTCTTAATTTTACAACTCTGAAAGTGATTCTGCATTTTTTTATAATTCCTCTCCTCCAAGTTGACCTGAGAAATGGTTTTAGAACTCTGTAAATGTTTTTAAAAATTCCCTCAACTATTATTTTTTAACCTTCGAATACTCGATAGACCAGCTCAGGCTGAAATATTTTTTCTAAATTTATATATATATATTTTTTTTTGTTTATATGTCTTTTTCCTCTGAATCAAATTTACGCTACTTCTTATTTTAATCATCCGAATAAGTGCCCAACTCTGTTTTTTTTTTGTTTTGACGAAATTCGATTTCAAACCTCCAACTATATAAATATCCTCAATCTTCTGGCTTTCTTAGATTCTTGTTTTTTTTTTTTTTTTTTTTTTTTTTTTTTTTGTTTTTTTGTAAAAAATCTAATAATCCTATTCCTATATTTCCTGCCTCAAACTTGACCTCCAGAACAGTTTCGAAATTTCGTAAATATTTTTAAATTTAATTTTTAAAAATTTCGTTTTGTATTTAATAGCCCCTCACTTGCTGGGAGGCTATTTTCAATATATCTTTTATTTTCTTTTTTTAACTTTCTCAAATTCTCTCAAATTTGTCCTGGTTTTAGGACGAATTTCGATTTCAAACCTCCAACTATATTAATAGCCTTAATCTTCTGGCTTCCCTTGAGTCCTGTTTTTTTTTTTTTTTTTTTTTTTTTTGAAAAAATTCCAATAATTCTTTTCCTATATTTCCTGCCTCAAACTTGACCTCCAGAACAGTTTCGAAATTTCGTAAATTTTTCCAAATTTAATTTTTAAACATTTCGTTTTATTTTTAATAGCCCTCATTGGCTGGGAGGCTATTTTTCATATTTTCCTTTTTTTTTCCTGATTTTTTTAAACATTTATTCTCTCAAACTTGTCCTGCTTTTAGGACGAATTTCCATTTCAAACCTCCAACTATATGAATAGCCTTAATCTTCAGGCTTCCCTTGACTCCTGTTTTTTTGTTGGCAACAATTCTATTAATTCTTTTCCTATATTTCCTCCCCCCAGAATAGTTTCGAAATTTCGTAAATTTCTTCAAATGTAATTTTTAAACATTTCGTTTTATTTTTAATTGCTCCTCATCGACCGTTCTCCATAACTTTTTTTTATTTCTTTCTGTTTTTTTTTAAAATATTTCTTCTCTCAAACTTGTCCAAGGGAATGGTTTTCGATTTGAAACCTCAGTCTGCTGCCTTCCCTTGATTCCCATTTGTCTCCAAAATGTCCTCTATTTTTTTTAAATCCCTTTTATTTATTGTTTTTATTTTTTTTTTTTTTGGTTTTGGTTGGTCGTCACACCAAACTTCCTTACTTCCGAACTTACCTTGTCTACCGTGTGTGCGGGCTGCTGTTGATGTCGACGATGGAGGTTGCGTTTCGTTTGCCCGATGGGGCAAATGTTGATATTCATAATCATAATAGGATGATTGTGAATCGGTTTGTTGTTGTTGCTGCTGCTGTTGTTGTTGTTGCAATTGGAAATTCTGTTGATTCTGATGATGCAGTGTATTTTGTTGTGATGTTGCGGCAGATTGTGTTGACGACATATGGGGATGACGTGGGGTCATGGAACCGGTATGCAAGGAACCACCGCCGTCGCCGCCACCACTCCCACTGATGCCTCCGCCACCACCACCACCGGCTATCGCTCTGGTATCATCGCGACAATCCAAGGTGGTCTCATATTCATAGGGATTCATGGTGGACGATTCTAGAGGACATTCGTCGTCGTCGGTATCGGTGCCACCGTCGTAGATGTTCTCAGCGTGACGGTATGCCGGGTGATGATGATGATTTTGCTTTGAGAACTTAATTTTGATGGTTTTGAGTTATTAGCGGTGTGGAACCCGCTAATAGAGTGGCCGGCCGAAAAAAGAAGATAGTTGAGATGAGTGGAGGAGAGAAGAGCGAAAAAGGGGGAACGTTGTGGGTTTTTTCGCTTCTTTTAATTTTTTTTTTTTTGAAAATTTTTATTTTTGGGAAATTTTTATGGTTTTGAAATTTTGTTTTTTTTTTGGTTCACTTTTTCACGTTTGTTGTTGCATTTCTTTTGTAATTTTATTAAAATTTTATATTCTTCTTATATAGGAATTCCTTGTTTTATGAATTCCGTTTTGTTGTTATTTTTGTTGTTGTTGTTGGTAGTTCCCTGGAAATTAAGGGTTTTCCCTTTGTTTGTCCCTTTTTTTTCGGTGTCTACTTTAAAAAACCATTTTTCTCAAATGCGGTTGTTTTGTTGTTGTCCATTTGGCTTCTCCTCCATTTAATGCCCCCTCGGCAATGGCAATAAAATGCTCAAAATTTATTTTATTTTTCTTTTCTTTTTTTGTTAACGAAAAAATGCCTTTGGGGTCCAAACGGCCACAGAGCGGAGCAATATCCTTTTTACAGTTTCCTTGTGCCGAATTGGATTTTTTTGGCCAGGCAAATAATTTTTAATCCGTTTTTGTTGCTGCCGTTTTGGCATCACACCATGAGTGAGGCGGTTTGAATGGTAAAGAGGGGGTTTTCGGTTGGGCGCCACCACTCTAAGGCAGGTCAAGTGCCATTTATTTGCTTGGAAAACGCTCTTTTGCACAGAGATTTTTTGTTGTTATTATTTGTTGTTGTTGTCGTTGTTACGACTTTAACACTTTAGCAATAATAAAAAAGAGGGCGGACAAAACTTAACAAAACTTAAAAATCGAAATATATATTTTTTTCTTGCAATTTAAAGGCAGTTGTTTCTTTTGTTGGCATTAGGAAAAACAATTTTCACAACACTTTTCTTTGTAACTTCAATTTGAATTTCTTGGAAAATTAATATTTTCTCTGCGATTTTGCTTCTTGAGGAAATTCCTTTGGAATTTGTTTTTTTCTTTTACTTCGAGATTTTCTTTTACTTTTTTTTTTGTTTCGGCTATAAAATTTTGCACGCGCGTATTGTTTTCATTGGATTTTCTCACTTAGGGAAATTCTCATTTCTAATAGATACTTGAGGTTTTGTTACATTTCCCTTTATTTTCATTTCAAAATTGGTTGACGTAAAATTTTTTCCGTTTTCATTCGTTTCGTACACAAAAAAAAATCAAAAATATCGAATGTGTATGGAAATGTGTTTTGCTGGTTAGGTATTTGAAACAAGTTGTTTGAATGAAAACTCAAAGAAAAAATCTATGGATTTTTCTTTGCTTCTTTTTGGTTTTGTTGTGTGTGTGTGTGTTTAGTATGAACGGCCGCCGATCTTTACTTGGGCTTTACAAACGATTTACAAACAGCGAGCGACGTTTTAAGACTGAATGCATGAAAGAATTTTTGTGTATCTTGACTGTGGTGCGTATTTGAAACAGACAACTGCACAATTTTACTCTCGCGCTCTCTCTCTCTGTTCAAAGAAAAAAAAATCACATGCTCGCTCTCTCATTGGCTTTCTATGTCTAACTCTCCCGGAGTAACAGCCAGAGAAAAACATTAATCAGGTTTTGCCTGTGCCACAGCCAACTAAAAACAAAGCCTGCGCAAACAATGCAAAGCAAAGAGGTTTACGAACTTCGTCCACCGCACACACACAACACAGCAAACAGGAAAACAACGCACAACCAAACACAGCACACAATAAAACTCCCGCACAGTTGTGGAACCAGAAAACGCACAGCCAACTCACACAGATATTCCCCAATGGAAAACCAAAACAGACAGAAACTCACACAAAGGCAGAGAGCCACGGCAAATCAACAACAGTGTTGTGTTGTTACAACACGAACAATGAGATATTGAGAGAGAGTGGCAGAGTAACAGAATTATGGAGAGAGAGAGTAAACTAAGCCAGTGGGCAACCCCACAACAAAACAAACCAACCATTGCCAGTTTAGGGCAGATAAAAATAAACAGAGAGTGAGAGTAACGTCTCTCCGTTACAGAGAGCGAGAGTTTAACTTATCCCCATTAGAAAAACAAAACAAACCAAATAATTGTACTGAGGTAAGGGCATCTCAATGGAAGATACGTTTTACCAAACGGAAATAGAGGCAGGTATCTAAGAAATAAAATTGTATCTGCCAAATTGAACATCTTCGTTAAGTGTATCTGCAACGGAGAGGTACAAGGTTCGTTAAATATATCTTGCAAGGCCAATTAGATGTAACATTTTAGATAAGGGGTTTAAGCAGACGTTTGAGGGATAATATAACATTGGCATTAGTATGCGGATTTTTTAAGAGTTTGGAAAGCTATTAAGCTAAAAGCAATTTTTTTAATTAAAAAAAAGAAATAAAATATATAAATAAATAAATAATAAAAATAATATTAGTAATAATAACAATAATAATAAATAAATAAAAAAGGTCCGAAAGTATTAATTTAAATATATATAATTTGTACGGCCATTCGGACAAACGTGCGGGAATTTTAAATATTTTTTTTATTTTTATATTTTTTTGTTTTTTAATTTCTTTTATATGAATTTAAAGAAAACTCTTGTTTTTATAAAAAGGTATTTTTAAAGAATTTTAGAAAAACATAGATTGTCAGAGAAACTTGAATTTTTCAAAATGTTCATACCCTTAGCTTAATGGTTACAGAGGGTATATATAATTTGGTACGGCCGTACCTCAATGAAATAACGCTTTTAGACCCTAGGACTCTTTGGACCAAATCCGTTTCAGGACATTTGGAGTCGATCTAAGGGTGTCCGTCCGTCTGTCTGGATGTTACTCACAATAACTCCCGAAGGAATTATTCGATTTGATTCCAACTTGATACATTGTAACACCATAGTCAAACTTAGATCGAGTTCGAAGATGGACAATATCGGCCCACTCCTTCTGGTATCTCCTCCACAAAAGTTCGAAATGTTCAAAAAAATATTTTACTACACAGAAAGATATTAATCCGATTTTGTACAAACTTTGTAAATCCTAAGATTCGCGTCAGTTCTAAGTCAGGTGCAAAATTAGAAAATGTCGATCCACTCCATCAAGTACCTCCCCCACAAAGAGTCCAAATTTAGAATGATCACAACTCTCATAAAATGTGAAATAAGTTCAGGATTGTTATCATATTTCGCTTATCCCAAATATCCGATTCTCTCGAAACTGCACAGATTCCACTGCTTCAACCAACACAATCTAATCTGAAGGTGGAATATATCTGTCCCCTCCTTCTTGTACCTCTTCCTCAAAGGGGTTAAAATTTTGAGTAACCAAACCGCTTATAAAATTGCGAAATAAGCATCCGATTGTCATCAAGTTTTGCTTATCCCAACATTATTATCAACTCTAGATCTCGTATGAAATTGAGATAGATCAGGCCATTTCTTCGGTGCCTTCCCCATAAAAGGGTTCAAAATTTTGAATACCCATAAAGCTCATAGAAGGCGAAAGCGATTCTCTTCAAACTGCACAGATCCCAATATTTGTATCAACACAAGATCTGGTGTGCAGATAGGATAGATCGGACAACTCCTTTTAGTACCTCCCCCACAAAGGGGTCAACATTTAAAAAAAAAACTATGAAGGTCATAAAAGGCTAAATGACCATCTGCATCCTTTCAAACTCAGCACATCTCAATATTTCTATTAACACAAAATACGGTGTAAAGATGGAATAAATCGGTCCACTGCTTTTTGTACTTCCCACGTAAAAGGTCAAATTTTCGGGATTTCAGCTCAATTCCTCCACCCAATACAAAATTTAGTACTATTTGGTATTATTTAGTACTTTTCGTACATTTATAGAACACCATTCCTAAACACACCTCCATATCTCAATTCCGGATATCCTGCACTCCATCAGTGGCTCTCATTTTAAATTTAAGAATATTACCACAGCCCGTTTGTCCGATACAAAGAATTCAATTGTTTCTTAACTTAAGTACTTTTCGTTCCCTTTTTAGTACGATTTTCCAAAAACCCAGCCTATGACACGCCCACTCCCTAAGACTGACTCTAGCTTTAATCTGGACGTTGATTCTAAATCAGTCAGTCATTTCAATATTTTTTATATATATAGTTCAAATAACCTCTTGAAGTATTTATTTAAAAATATATTTCAAAGATCCTGCATAGATTGGATACCTATTGGAACAGTTTCTTTTGTGGAAATTTTTGTCCCCAAAATCTCAAAATAGCCTTCCAAGTCTTATTTCCAAAAACTTAGTCTAAATATATTCTTCTCCCTCCAGTATCGATTTCAAAATAACGGTAAGCTTCAAAGAAAACTGCTATGAGCTTTTCAAATTAATATCTTATCTAAAATTCCAGATAATCGCCAACGAACTGCAAAATAATCTAATCTACCAAATTTAACGAATTTTCCTCTGTGCGCATGTTTTTCTCCTCGCAGATTTCTGTAAGTTACTCAAGCATTTTATCTTTGCAGCATCCCCAATTGAACAACACGAATCGATACAACTATTCTCCTCTAAACAAATCACAGAACAACCCACAGCAAAGCAATGGAGAAAACTCTCTGTCTCGGTGATTGGTTCTCCTTACCCCCCAAAAAACAGAGAAAATTGCAAAACTCCCAAACAATGCGTTTGGCAATCTCAAACGTTGAGATTTTACAGATAAGAGATACAATATCTCTCTCCTCCTTCCTTCATGAAAATAATACAAATCAATCCATCCATTAATGTCTCTCAAATTCCAAATGGGTGCTCTGTAGAAAATAAATCTCAGCCACTGCTTACGCATGGGAAGTCAACGGAAGCAGAGGCGAGGCATCGCCAAACATAGAGCCCCCCAAATCACACAACTAGGCCTCCCCATGGCGAAATAGAAACAGATACTGAGAGAGAGTGAGAAAGAGGCCGCCACATTTGCAGCCAGCCAAGTCGACTCAACATCCATCCATCCAACAAAAGCCAACAGCATAAAATACCGCTGCTGTCTAACATAACTGAAGCATGAAAATGCAAACGCACCGAAAGAGACATTTGAAGGTTACAAAGTGCGTTAACTTTTTTGCTTGACGATTATTGTTGTTGTTGTCGATTGGGATTTGCAGAGCACATTCGCACATTGCCGCTGTGCGTGGAAAAGCGTTTTTCGTGCAGTGCGGCTGCGAACTTATCTGATTTGTCAAGAAAATGAGGGGTAGTTGTTGTTCAAAGGTTACGAGATACTTTCTCCTGTTTTCATTTGGTTAGTTGGCAGATAGATACTTATTTGAATTTGCAGAAATTTGTCTGTAGATACATTTATCTCTCTGCTCTGAGGATGATGTCGATAACATTGTCATGTTAATAACAGAGATCGAATCAAATGCTGTTAAGTGCTTCGAGAAATGTTAGAGAAATTATGTAGCAATAAAAATGTATCCCTTAGGGATTATGTCGGAATATATAAATGTTGAAAAGCGTACGTTAAATACGAAATATAGTTTTTAGACCCCACAAAGTAAATATATATTCTTCATCAGCATAAAATTCTATATCGATTGAGCGATGTCCGTCCGCCTGTGAAAATCACTCTAGCTTCTGAACGAAATGAAGTTGGTTGATAAAATTTTACTCAAATGTATATTATGTCTGCAGGACTTTTGGTATTGAAAATGCGCCATGAAAACGCCTTTAAAAATTGGATTTTTTAAATAATATTTTTTGAAGAGCCTTTAAAAATTGGATTTTTTAAAGAATATTTTTTGAAGAGCCTTTAAAAATTGGATTTTTTAAAGAATATTTTTTGAAGAGCCTTCGAGACGTTGGCTTTTTAAAGAATATTTTTTGAAGAGCCTTCGAGACGTTGGTTTTTTCAAGAATATTTTTTGATGAGCTTTTAAGATGTGGATTTTTTAAAGACTATTTTTTGAAGATCCTTCAAAGACGTGGATTTTTTAAAGAGTATTTTTTGAAGAGCCCTTAAAGACGTGATTTTTTGCAAGAGTAGTTTTTGAAGAGCCTTCAAGATGTAGATATTTTAAAGAATATTTTATGAAGAGACTTCAAGACGTGGATTTTTTAAAGAATATTTTTTGAAGAGCCTTTACGACGTGGATTTTTTAATGAATATTTTTTGAAGAGCCTTAAGACGTGGATTTTTTAAAGAATATTTTTTGAAGAACCTTTACGACGTGGATTTTTTAAAAAATATTTTTTGAAGAGCCTTTACGACTTGGATTTTTTAAAGAATATTTTTTGAAGAGCCTTAAGACGTGGATTTTTTAAAGAATATTTTTTGAAGAGCTTTTAAGACGTGGATTTTTTAAGAATATTTTTTTTGAAGAGCCTTCAAGACGTGGATTTTTTAAAGAATATTTTTTGAAGAGCCTTCAAAGACGTGAATTTTTTAAAGAATATTTTTTGAAGAGCCTTCAAGACCTGGATTTTTTAAGAATATT